TTCAAATTTTCAAACTGCTTTAATCCACTGCTGAAGATATATTTTAAGCAGAATAAGCTATTTATTTATTTGAATGGGTCCTCCAAGCTGTGCCCACTCCCTGCCATAAGGCTGACAGAACCTGTGGTTGGAAGCAAGCCTAGAATTCCTTATTGCACTCTGACCTGTGGCTAATACCAAGGACGTGGGTAAATAAGGTGTGTGTTGGGAGAGTATTTCCAACGCTATACCTGGAGGTGCTTGGGCAGGGGGAGAAGAAGGATGTGTGGTATGGGGATCTAACCAGTGAGCACTCTAATTTCTACATTATATTTCTGGCCTAGAGAAGTAATTTTTCACTGTGATTCTCAAGTTTAAGCGCTCACTTTGTCAACAGCTAGGGAGAATAACTTCTTTTTAATCTGCATGTAATTGAGGCATGCTTACCAAGATCCATTTTACCATGCTTCTACATGGGCTTAAAATATTTTCCCACAGTAAAGCCATAGTTTGCATCCAACTCTGGCCTTACTGACTTCTAACATTATCTTAAATCTTACAAATAATTAGTACTTAATATTCATTATTAAGGCTGATTCTTTATTCATTATTCTTTATTCATTATTATAATATTCATTATAAAGGCTCATCAAGGAGTTAAAGAAATAGTAAGGCACTTTGCCTTGCATGCTACAGGTCCTGGTTCTATCCCTGGTATCCTATATAGTTATTTGAGCCCTACCAGGAGTGACTTCTGAGCACAGAGCCAGCAGTAATTACTGAGCATTACTGAGTGTGGCACCAAGACCAAAGTCAACAACAACTAAAGCTTAAGACACATCCTTATACATCTTTTTGTTTGTTTATTTGTTAGGTTTTGTTTGGGGGCCACACATAGCTGTGCTCAGAGCTTACTTATGACTCTACACTCAGGAATTAACCCTGGCAGTGCTGGGAAACCATAAGGGGTGTCAGGGATTAAACTCTGTAGTATGACTCCAGTCCCTACACCCTTATACATCTTATCTTGCTTGTATTCTTTCTTCAAAGAATAGAAAAACACTACAGTTGATAATGCTTCCTTTTTATTTTTTGAACTCTAGAGCCTCTCTTTCTCTAATTTATTTCAACCACCATTTTTTGAACAACTAAGTATGAGAATTTATGTTCATTTTAAGAGGATTTATTTTTTGCTGTAAATCCAGATGATGTATTTCTTTTAAAACTATGTTGCAATAAATCTTCCATTATTTTGATATTAATGCAGATTAACTTTCACTGAATTTCTTATTTTCTCATCTACAAATGTAGGCCAGAAACCAAGAAATAGAAGAGAGGGAATCTGCCAAATGTTGGCTAGGTTTTTATAAAACCAAACATCTAGCAATTTAGGACTAAAATGTGTGAGGTGAATTTAGTTACCTATCCTTTTGGCATCAAGCAAATAAAAAAAAATCAACTCTTGATCTTGAACTTTTATTTTCAGCTGGCTTGACAGACCCAAAATACCTAATGCTAATAGATAAAAACACTTGAAATGTATGTAATTATAGATAAATTCTAGAAAACTATGTGTATACTTCCTAGCCTCTAAATTTCACCCACATTTTTCCACATTTCCTACTGATTTATTAGTAATATGTTAACTATGGGTCAGAAGAAAAGGCATAAAAATTGCTGTTAAGAATTTTCATTTTAACTTTCATTCTGACTTGCTTTTAGATGCCGTGTCTTTATGTTAGGTGCTGGGCCTCTAATCCGGTGTTGATTTACTTGGCTGCGTAGGAGTTATGTAAAATTATACAACTGATGTAAGCCAGGTGTTCACAGATTCTTTATTTCTTTTGCATCAAAAACTTCACTGGAAGCTTTTCAAGAGTAGGTGTCTATGACCTATAACAAGCCTAAAAAAATGGCACGTGGGCTTATTTTCGGTGTCCTATAAGCTTGTCTTCTCCATGAGCTCATGGACCATCCTGAAGTCCCCCCACTCCTTCCAGTCACAATCACAGCTTCTATTTCTGGTCACCTGGGAAAAGCGACTTTGGCAAGAGTCAGATCTCAGGCCCACCCTTGCACGGAGAGTTCTACAGCATCAGAATGACCTTCCTGCCATCTCCTCTCGCCTGCTGTTGTGAGTCACCTCCTACACTTCCAGCTGGTCCTGGTGGGCCATAAGCATTTACTGAGAAAATTACTTTTTGAAGGTTTTCAACTTCAGTTCTATACATCACAGAGAAAAGACCATGCTATCTCTAACGGTGACATACTTTTGCAGGGTCAGAGCACTAGTACGATGGGGAGGGTGTTTGCCTTGCCTGTGGCTGACTCAAGTTTGATACCTGGCAAACTATATGGTCCCTTGAGCACTGCCAGGAGTAATTCCTGAATGCAGAGCCAGGAGTAACTTCTGAGCATCACTGGGTGTGACACACACACAAACACACACACACACACACACACACATGCATACAAAGACTCTTCTGTTCTTCTTCCATCCATTCCTCTTCCTGTGCTTTTTAATTAGTGTTCCTGATTATTCTGTCCAGGAACAAGAAATAAGTTGGAAAGCCATCAAGAAGATATTGGGAGAGTAAAGGTAGCTCACAAGAGAATGGGGGAATTGTCAGCCTTAGGCTTGGAAAAAGGCTGGCGATGCCAGAAGAGATATGATTTGTTTGGTGTAGGAATGTGGAGCATCAATCACAGAGCCAACAAGTGGCCAGAGTCTTAACAACATATTCCCCAGCTCTGGTAGCCAGCATTCCTGTTACTTGTAGTTCTTTCTGGTGTTTCCTGGGAAGACTGCTCAGGAATGAGTTGAGGAAATAAACACAATTGGTAAGAGCTGAATTATGCCCCTCTTCCCCAATTCATAAGTTGAAGTCTTGAGCCCCAGTATCACAAAATATGACTTAATTTGGAAAAACAGCGATTGTAGATGTAATTAGTGGGCATGAAGTCACACTGGAGTGGAGTGGGTCTGTTAGCCAATATGATGCCTGTGCATAAACAGAGAAAACTGGGACAAACACACACACACACACACACACACACACACACACACACACACGAAGAATACCTTGTGAAAAAGGGAATTAGGCTGCCACAACTCAAGCAACTATTATAAAGTAGAAAATAAGTGATATAGATCCTTCCCCAGCACTTTTAGAAAAAGGTCCTGCCAACTCCTTGATCTTGGATTTTCAGTCTTTATATCTATGAGACTTCAGATTTCTTTTGCTTAAGCCATTTAGTTGGTTGTCGTTTGTCAAAATAGGCCAAACACACTAATGCAATACAGCAATGGTAGAGCTGTCCTGGTCTTGGCTGGAATCTCCCTGGAGCAGCAGTGGTTTGATGGGCTAAAAAGTGTGCACAATCCAATCCAATTATCTGGAGTGAAATTTCTGCATATGAATTATATATATATATGTATATGTGTATATACATTAAGGACATAAATAAAAATTCATGGCAACAATTTCTAAACAATTCTACAAAGACAATAATTGCTGATGGTATTTGTAATGATACCTAATCAAATGATTAAAAACTTCTGGTCACTCCTGGACTTCTTAAAAGTGAAAGGAATCTTATCTTTAGCTACTAGGCCACCTCCTTTGATAATTCAGAATCCAGCTTTCATACATCTGATTATCTGCCAAGAATACTAAGCACTGGCTGTAGGATAAAGTTTCAGACACAACTCCCCTGACCCTAAAGTATTTCATTGTGTGGTAGCTAAACTAATAAAATTCAGAAGAAATTTTTATTTTATAAACTGATAGATTTTGTCCATTTGCACCCAGGCATATTTAAGGCTTAAAGTGATTCAAAAAACTTCAGTTGGTTTAAACAATTAAGTAAAGCCCTTGATGATTTAAGGTTGAAAATATGTTAGGTAGAATATTAGACTGGGTTGCTCAGAGAAATAGAATAAGTAGGAGAAAGAGAAAGAAGAAAGGAAGGTGAAGGTGGGAAGGAGGGAAAGAAAGACAAGAGAAGGGAGAGAGGAAGGAAGAAAGAGGCTACATCACTAATTGTTAGGGAGATGAAAATCAAAACAACAATGATATATCATCTCACATCACAGAGACTGGCACACATCAAAAAGATTGATCAGTGCTGGCGAATGCAGAGAGAAAGGGATTCCCATTCACTGCTAGTGAGAATGCCAATTGGTCCAGTCTTTCTTGAAAACAATATGAACATTCCTCAAAACATTAGTAATTCTGGCTATTGCAAAGAGTGCTGCAATGAACAAACAAGTGCAGATGTCACTTTGACTATACTTTTTTTGCCTCTCTGGGACATATTCCCAGGAGTGGTATTGCTGGGTCTCACTAATAAAAATTTAAAAAAAATAAAGATCACAATTGGGAGCACACTAAAAAAAACAAACACTAGAAATTTAGCTTTCAACAATACAGCACCTGGGACTATAGCCTAGTCGCCCCAAAACAACGCAGAAAAGTCACCTGCACTCTCATGTTCATTGCAGCACTATTCACAGTAGCCAGAATCTGTGAACAACCCAAATGCCCAAGAATAGATGACTGGATAAAGAAGCTATGATACATCTACACAATGGAACACTAAAAAACTGTTAGGAAAAATGGAGTCATGAAATCTGCTTATCCATGGATGGATATGGAGAGTATCATGCTGAGTGAAGAGGGAGAGAGGCAAACGTAGAATGACTGCACTCATTTGTGGGATAGAAAAATGAACAAACAAAACTCCTACAGTATGTGAATGATACCCAAAGACAGTAGAAACAAGGGCTAGAAGGACAAGTTCATGGTAGGAAGCATATTACCAAGAGGCAGGAGAAATGCAGTTAGAAGAGAAGAGGGACCTCTATGACAATGATAGTTGGAAATGATCATTCTGGACAAAAACTGAGTGCTGAAAGGAGGTAATGCATGATAACCTTTCAGTAACAGTATTGAAAACCACGGTGCTTTTAAGGGAAATGAGAGGAGAGAGAGAGAGAGAGAGAGAGAGAGAGAGAGAGAGAGAGAGAGAGAGAGAGGAGAAAAGTACCTGCGGGAGAGGAAAAGTGGGGCTGATGGGTGGGGTTGAGGGGTTGGGGACTGGACTGAAACTGGGAACGTTGGTGGTGGGAAATGTACACAGGTAAAGGGATGGGTGTTAGAGGAGCATTGTATGACTGAAACTCAATTGTGAGCAACTTTCTAACTATCTCTCATGGTGATTCAATTAAAGGGAATTTTTCTTAAAAAAGAAAGAGGAAAGAGGGTGTGGAGAGAGAGATTTAAGAAATTTGCTCCTTGTACTGTGGTTGAAACTCAGGTGAGACTTAATGCAGTCTTTGGCTGAATTCTGCAGGGGGCTTCCTGGAAACTTAGTGTTTCCATGGAAACAGTGTATCCATGTTGTAGTGGTAAGGAGAATTCCTTCTTCAGAAACTTGTCTCTACTCTAAAAGCATTCACTGTTTGGATTTGGCCAGCTACCTTATGAAGTATAATTTGCTTTCCTTAAACTTTACAAATCTGTTAATCACATCTTTAAAATACTATCACATAAATACCTAGATCAGTGTTTGATCAAACCAACTGGATCCATCGACCATATAAAGTTAACCACACAGGGTGGAAGTCAAAGAGGACCCTCAAGTAACCAGGAAACCATTGTTCCGGTCTGCTCTGATGAAGGCTTTTGACCCTTCATCTTCAAACCATACTCTACATTAGCCAGTCACTATGGCTTAAGGCAACACAATTCTTTGGCTGGGGCTGGGAATGGGGAGAGGCTATTGTGTTGAGAAGCCTTGGGTGTTTTTATGGTAGGAAGAGAGAAAGAAGGAAATAGATTGGATTTTCTTCTTTGGAAGAAACACTGGCATCGGGCTGCAGTCGCCTGTCTACTGCCCAGTAGGTGCTTGCTGCTAGCTGTAGTCATGCACGAGACCATGTGTAACCGACGGGCTCAGCTCACATGAACTTAATTTAAAGCATCTCTGAGATTTCCTTGAGGAAAATTTAGCCTCCCTCATTGATTTCAAGTTAGTAATTTTTGTTCCTTTGAGCACAGAATTGTTTTTAATTAGAAATGCATGACATTTAAAATTATTTAAATACAAATATTTTTACACCGAGGGGTGTGGAAGGTGGGGTGTGGGAAGTGGGGATGGAAGCAATGAATTTTTCCTGTACAGAAACCCTGCTGAAAAAATATTTTCCCTTAGTCATCGTTCTGAAAATCATCCCTCTCAAGGATGCTTGTTATTTAAAATTCAATGGAAAGACATTTTGAGATTTTTGACTAATTTAACTGGAATGGGTTCGGTGATTATGTAACAGTTGCAAATAGGTCATGGCCCCAGACGTACTAATTAATAATTGGATTTTACTGGCTCCCCCGCACTTATCTTGTATTCTACCCCCTTGCTATTACCCGCACTTCTTCCCACACTGGAAGATCCTTGAGGACAGACTCCTTTTAGTCATCAGACTCCCCGGCATGAACTATGACTACCACGGACAAAGCATCTGTGGGGTGGGTAGCACTGAAGATGAAATCTGGGTTGTCTGGGTGTTCAGGGAGAGTGTGGTGATGGTTTTCTGGCTTCTCAGCAAATAAAACTCCTGTCGATTGTCATCAACAATATTCCAATCACAGCTTTACACTTTTCTAGATGCACAGCTGCCTTTGTTGGCAGCTGCATACAACAAAAATCTTACACATCCCTAATGTCTGTCAAACATTGGAAACTGGTTCTGGCAAAATCGGAAGAGTGTTTTCTACAGACCGGTGCTTCACCTTTTTGCGTTGTTGTTTAACTTCCACTTTTTTTTTCAATTAGTGAAACACCACGAGGTACAGTTGTAGACTTACAAATTTTCGTGCTTGGGTTTCAGTTATACAATGATCGAGTACCCATCACTCCACCAGTGCCCATTCTCCACCACCAATGAACCCAATAGCCCTCCCACCCCCCCATCCCATCCCCTCCCCACCCACCCTGCCCCTCCTCTGCTGCAGGGCATTCCCTTTTGCTCTTTCTTTCCTTTAGGGTGTTGTGGTTTGCAATAGAGGTATTGAGTGGCCATCGTGTTTGGTCTATAGTCTATTTTCAGCATGCATCTCGCATCCCAAGCGAATCTTCCAACTTCCACTTTTAAACAACCTTCCCAATCATCCCTTCACTTCCCCATATTTCCTACCTTTTTCATCCTTTCCTATGCTCAGAATATTAAAAGGCCTTCGTTTAATCACTTCACTTGTAAATTAATCAATAGATTTTCATTTGGAATAAATGAATTTCACCTGACACTTTTCTCCATTAGATATTGAAACCTGGGTGTGAATATGCAGGTGGAGACGGGCCTTCCACTCTTCTAAAGACACCTCCTGCCTCTTTCTTTCTTCATGGTTGGTGGGGGAGAGCAGGAGGTGGAAAGGGGCATAGGGAGGGTCACCCTGAAGACATGTCCCAAGAGTACAATGGTTTTCAAGCTTTGAGGCTGACTAGAGTGGATAAGGGTGCCCAGAGTGGACAAGGCAAGTGGATAAGGGTGCCCAGGGTCTTCTTCCTCCCTGCAAGATACCTACTTTTATGAATAAACAAATACCCCTACTTCTGGGCAAGTTAGGGGCCTCTTTCTCCTTTGATTCCAAACCAGTTCCCTCCCCCAACTGAACTGACTTCTGCCCTTTGAGCTTTAATGAAAACTATCAGTTTCCAACTCAGTTAATTTAACATTGTAAAGGGGTTGCCAACCTTATTGTTAACCTGAAGAGCATCCTACGAGCCAGGTGAACATTGCTTCCATTTGATAGTTAAGATTGAAAGGGGCTGGGAGGAAATCACTGCACTGCATAGCCATGGGTGGAAGCTGGGGTCACCACAGCTTTAGCACACAAGGCCCCTTCACCCTCCTGCCTCCCTGAAAGTTTTTAATGTTATCTATCAGTGGTCAGCATTCACTTTGCTGGGGGGAAAATATTAATTTAAGTTCTATTCTGTTGCCTTCTTAATCTGAGGTCTTGCATCTTCTTTTATTTCCGCTATCATCTGAATATTTCTCGTGTATATTACATTCAAGGTGGTCAAAACAATGCAAAACAGCTCCTAGGTTCTATAGCTTTTAATTCCTCTGAGTCAGTTGCTTAAACCAGAAACTGCAATTCTTTCATTTCCCCATTTCTCACATTATTTAATAAAAAAAATTTATATTGAGATTCTGTGGTTTACAAAACTGTTAATGATGCTTTCTCGTGCACACAATTCCAACACCACTCTCATTACTCTCACCCCCCTCCCTCTCCCAAGGACAGTAGCACCCATCCCTTCCAGGAACCCACAGCCCACACACACACCAACTCAATTATGTGGATTAGTTTTCCCATTGGCCTTTCTCAGCCTCCCACCACCTTTTTTTAAAAATTAGCCATTAAGTTTAGTTCTTTCTCCTATATACAAAAACAGCACAAACCTATTAGTGCACATGTACTCTTGAAACTCATTGTTCACTTTGTAAGAATCTTTAACTGATCTCTTATTCAAACCTACAAGTTGCTATGAAAGCCTTTTTAGTGAATATTTATTTATGTCACTCTTGTGCTTACACATTCACAGGACAAGGTCAGAATATTTTCTCATTTTTTCCCATTCCCAGATCTTTCCCCTTTCCCAACCCTCCATTCCCTGGCACAACCCTGACTCCCTGGCTCCCTATGTCCTTCTACTCTTTCCTCTTGCACCTGCTGCAAATGTTTTTTGCTTTGTTCTTGTGGGTACCCCTTACTCACAAGTCAAAGCCAAATCAGAACTTCAGTTCCCTCATAAGCCCTTTCTAACTCCCCCGACAGGCAAGAGCCTCTGTACTTCTCCAGCTGTGGGTGTGGAACTGGATGCATGGACATGTGCCATTGTACTCGGGGCATCTGTGGAGAGTGATCTCTCTCAGCCCCACTAGAGAACTCAGGGAGGGCTACAATTAGTACTGACTCAAACATCCTCATGTTTCTGGTATATGCTAGAATCCCAGTAAATAATGTTTGGCTGAACTGAATGACGTGTAACTGAAGATCAAAGGGCTCTTAGTGACCTTCTTCCAGCCTTGCGTTTGGCATTTTTTGTACTTGTGGACACTTAAACTGAAACCTGAGAAAAATGAAAGATTTCAAAGTGTACCTTTCTGACTGTTTTCTCTTTATTGTTTCCTTTTTCCTACCGGTATCCACTACACTCCTCTTTTTAGACTCAGAGTGACCTGATTGTTGCTCTGTCCCTTCCCTCAAATCAGGAGGACTGGACACTCGTCACTTATATCCCACTTGCAACCCTGAACTCTGCTGCACGTTAGCTGAGATTCTGAGCAGGTGCTTGACTTCTCTGAAACTGCTTCTTTCTTTGTAACATGGAGATGACAGTACTTGCCTCCTAGGGTTCCTCAGAGATTCATAAAGAAACTCCCTATTAAACAGTAGCATCATCCCGGGCATATCATAATGTCTCAGAGAGTGTTAAAAGAAAACTGCTGGGGCTGGAGTGATAGCATTAGCTGGTAGGGCATTTGCCTTGCACTTGTTTGACCTAGGTTCTATTTCCAGCATCCCATATAGTCCCCCTAGCACTGCCAGGAGTAATTACTGAGGACATGAGCCAGGAGTAACTGGCTGTAACCAGTAACTGGCTGTAACCAGTAACCCCTGTGTATCGCTGGGTGTGACCCAAAAAGAAAAAAAAGAGAATAAAGAAAACTGCCTTAAGGGGTATGGTGCTGCCAGCAGGTCAATCTGTACCTGTGAGGCGAGTGCATCATCAGCCTCATGGCGCCTTCAGACTTCCAGATACCCCAAAATTGCTACTGTGCCTTTGGCCAGACCCCAAAAACTTGGGGCAAAGTTTACCAAGAAAGAAAATTGCCAAAAGTTAGGTATATGGGAGACCCACCAACAAACCACCATTTATAGCTCAGCTATATAATTGGAGGCATGGCTTCTCTGGTTCCTGATCGAACTGCTTAATGGCCATGATCCCAGAGACTCAGAAACAAATCTCAAAACCC